GACTATGTAAGGTACACGTGAAACCGAAAGAGCAGCAAAGGCACAGACAACTATAGTAGATATGGCTTTTGCATGCTTTTGCTACTCCCTGGGGATCCAAGTACCTTCTCAGGTTAGGTGAGGAAGGAGGCACTGTTATTTAGGTGCCGTTGTCGGGTCCAGTCGTACCTTCTGAGGTTCGGTACGACTGGATCTGTAGGGACTGAACAGCATTGAGCGTATACCAGATACACTTGCTAGGAGCCTGTGCAACCCACAGAAACAACCAAGTCACGAGGAAAACACAAATAAAAACACAACCAAGTAGAAGAGGACAGAACCCTCCTAAGTGGAGGGGGTTTTGGTGCTCTAAGATCACCTCAAAAAAAAAACTAACATTCTTAACGTCCCTTGAAATTCCCAGTGCTCTTCGGCTTCTTGCCCAGTGGCTCAGCCACTTGCACGTGGCGATGATCGTCCTGGGCGATGATCGGACCATCTGCACCCGTCGTCTAACTGTCGTGTTCGACGTACGACATCAACGTCGTGCGTCCCGTCCAATACAGGGAAATTCGACCAGGATCATCCAGGTGTCCATTAGAGATCCATATTCCCTAGGGCTCCTGACCCATGTCCTCAACGTGGTTAGACCGCCCTGGCACCCACCCCTGGCCCACCTTCTCAGGAGGTGGTTGGAGCCCTAGGGATTATAGTGCAGGGTAGTCTATATCCCGACTTGCAGAGGTGAATGACTCCTGAACCAAAGCGAAACAACGACTTCAGGGTCCTGTTTTTCTTAGGGTGCGAAACAAAAACAACACTATTCTGCAAGGAGAGCGGGTTTCTGCTTGGAATCTTCTTTGGAGGCTGACCCGGTTTTCACCTCCAAGACTTTTGATCGCACCACTCCTCTTGTGCTCCCGTGTTCATCGGTCAGTGATGGTCAGTGTGCATTCCAATGATCAAGGGGATCAAAATGGATCAAGGGTCACACTTGGGTCGTGGCTTTGAAATATAACCAGAGTCACGAATGGAATTGAAATATAACCAGAGTCATGAACAGCTACTACAGCTGTAACTAGTCTACACAACACCCCTCTTATAGATTGAACCGCTGTCCCTTTTTCCATCTATTCAAGGATGATGTGTCATCGATGCCAGGCATGGTATCAGGCCATCGATACGAGAGGCGGATGGCCTGATATGGGTGTGTCTCATCGATCTATATAAAACAACCTCAAAGTAGAAAAAGGCGTAGGACTCATTGTCAGTTGTCCATCACCTGGAAGATACTTATCGGATAGCTTTTCCGACTTTTCAGACCTGAGGATAGCAAAACAACCCGACTTCTCCTCTTCAGACAGCTTCTTCAATGTCTGTGCAATCAAAGCCTGAGGAGTCAGTGCTGGAGCGTGGAGCCCCAACACCATGGACGTCCCAGGTAGGTCAACCGGTATCCGCGGATTGATCCAAAACCATTTTGCTATACATAAATAGCTTAACATGAGGGCCCTGTATGTTCAGGAAACACCAATTCTTGGGCCACACCAAAGCCCTTATTATGCAGTCACACTGCAAGACATGAGCCAGTATCTGGTGAAATCCTCTGTAAGATCTCTGTCCCAATGAGTTCACATACTCTTTCACCTCCTGACTGATCAACGAGTTCCCAACTAGTCTTCCCAACAAGTTCCCTCCGGATAGTCTTTTCTTTGGCGAGCAGAAGGATGCCATCAACGACCCGTCTACCACGGGACTCCCAGTTCGCCGTTACCTTTCCGGGGCGCACCCCAGCGGCGCCCAGCCAGCACAGTCAGCCTGCTGAGCTCCTGACCCCATCGGTCTTCTCCTGACCTGCATTTCTTATCCTGCACCTGCACTTGGTTGGTTCAAGCTACAAAATACGTCGGCTGTGTGAGGGTCAAGAAAAACTTCAACGAATGCAGTAAAAGTACCGTGGAAAAAAAGATCTGGCCAACAGCAAACATAGTGTTAGCGCATTTCTAGTTGGAACTCCCACTCAAGTATAAAGAACTCCCTTTTCTTACTTGTAGTTTATCAGTTTATGATGAAACATATCAGGCGCATTGATGAGAAAACCCACATGAACTCCACTTGTAAACCTCCTTGGCCGTTCGCCCACCACAAGTGACCCCCGGGGCCCCCAGGCACTGCCACTGGCTGTCGCACCGAAGGGCGCGACCGTCTAGCGTCGGTTTCAGCACGGGAACGCGGCGGACCACGGAACGACCACGGAAAGCGGTGCCGTTTTTCTTCGTTTCTGTGGCCCAAGCTGAGTCTGTATTGTTCAACTCTGCCTGGATGTAGATTGCTCTGCATTACACATATGTGTGTTTGCTTGATATAGAAGTTCTGTGAAGTTCTGTCGTCGTGTGAGCTTGGAAAACATAAGCAATTTGGGGTCTGTGGTGATGCCATCGGAACAGATTCCCTTGAACAGTTTTTGTGGCAACTTCTTGGCTTTTGGGGCTATGAAGGAGGTACGCAGCTTCCCATCCTGCCAAAGAATCCCCTTGTCTGGCCGCCATTGCAACTTGATGTGGACTTGAGACAAGTCACAATTAAGCCCTGGTTTGGGAAGGTTTATCAAGCGCCTGCCAGAGATCTCCTGTCACTCGTGGTCATTGACCACGCAGTTTTCCGAGACATGGAAAATAGAGAGTCCAGTGCCTCAAGAACGTCGAGCCAACGGTGCAAAAGGCTTTTCTTCTTCCTATCCCGGACTATCCATGTAGGCAATAGTTACCTACATTGGGGTGGCTTCAGGGGTTCTTCTAGGCATAATTATGTATTCCATATATATATATATATACATGGCTAGTCTGGGATATGATGGCTCTTAAGGCCTTTTCGTGTGATGAAGGACGCTTTCTCTTGACGCAGCCTGCCTGCTGGGCCTAATGCCTGCTTTCCGGATGGCTTTTAGCGCAACATGTGTGATGAGGTCTTGCCCTCTCCAAACTCAGAATCCCCAAAACCTTCGAAGGCCATTCAAAAGGTTGGCCTGATGGTGTAGTCTAAAACCCTTCGTAAAAACACCGGTTGTTTGGGAAAGAAATCCATGGTGGTTGGAAGCCTTGGTCGCAAATCCTTACTATTTGGTCCTTGGTCGCCATGTCAGTCATCTGTCCCTCGCCAGGTCCAGGCATTTGTTGTCTGTGCATCGTCGGTTGTGCTCCCACCTCTGTTTCCTTCCAGGGATCCAAGTACCTTCATGTGACTGGGAACATCCCGGCATCCTGTTGACCACCATGAAAAACCACAGGGCCCCCAACTGATGAGGTTTCGACAGTCCCACCCGCGTTCAACGACCCACCGTGTGAACCCATCCGGATGTGTTGAGTGATCTTTTCGGGTGACCACGGGTGACCACGACCGACTTTCGGTGGACAACCCCGCCTGCGGCACCTGCAGCGGCTGGGTCATCTTCCATATGCAAAATCTGAATAGAATGGTCGGCTGCTTGAAAGGCAGATTGCTTTCAGGTTCCAAGCGACTGCATGTGTGTGTGGTGCATTCCGGTTTGTCAAAGAATTGAACAAGCTCTGTCGAAATGCAAACTCACACTGGTACTACTGTCAGCTTTCAACTTTGTGTCTTTTGCATCACCGCCCCGTGAATGGCAATCTCAAGGTGATCAAAGCTCCACACTGCACATGATAGATGACTTGCCGCCCCCCATTGCGGGCCAAAAACACCTCTAAACAGCTGCACACATCTACATGCAGCAAAATGCAGTGAGGTGTTTGTGCAAGGGATCCGAACTCCTTGGGACACCAAATCCAAGTGCACTTCAGATCCAAACTCTCTTGAGAACCTTTGATCGGGTCCAGGAACTGTGAAGCTTAAGACTAACATCTTCCCTACCAGCATCCTCACTGCCAGGTCTTTAGTTGAAGGTTGTGAAGAGTCTTAAAGATCGTCTTCCGATGGTTTGGGATTTATCATGATTTGTCAGTCACTGGATAAGGGAGGGCCAAAAGGCTCTGACTCTAGTGTGGACAGCACAAAACGATTCCCAGCACTCAAAATGCCTTGCGGAAATCCAACACTTCCTGGATTGCAAACCAACCCCAAACCATCAACATATTGGGTGATTTAAGTGCACGATGTAGGCATCATATATATATATATATTAATATATTCCGTACATGGATGGTCCAGGAATGTCCAGGAATTCTTGTCGTTGTAACTGATTCTCAGCGGCTGAACCCTCACTCTGAACCCTCACAGTTCTTTCGCATCGCCCAATCTTTTCGGTGGTCGACCGAGCCCCGACTTGAATGCTCACAAATCTGGACGGTCCTCCGCTGACAGTCCTCACGTGTGCCTGGCTTGGTCCGGAGAACACTGGTCCCTGTCACCCTGTAGGAAGAACAACCCGAAAACCTGCGAGGTGGGAAAATAGAACAAGTCATATGTCACACTCCAAAAAGTACCAAGAACCCGCACCCTAGGAGTCCAATCAACACACCATTTTGCGCAACGTCTTCACCGTGTGCTTCTGAAGTGGGAAACATGGAAGCTCAAAGGCTCAAACGTGTCAGTTCATCATGTTTTAGTGAGTTCACCATGGTTTCATTAGTGTTCCAGATCTTTTCATTCATGCTTTCACGAGTCAGTGATCTGTCAGCTCAACAGCTCAACAGCTCATGTGCCATAGGAAGAACATCAGAATGAAGCATCTGTCAGAACCCGGTTCAAGCATCTGTCAGAAAAGGAACACCCCAGTAATTTCTGATAATTTCTGACACCCTACATAGAGAGAGAGAGAAGTAATGTCTGATCCCCGAGAAAACTCTCTCTTGGAATACCACGGTGATCAGATCGATCTCTCTTCATGAGTTGTTTTCTAGTCTAGATAGATGATAGATTCTGACCTGGCAAAAGTATCATGGATCTGACTCCAGAACAGCCACATCCAATCTTTCCTTCGGATACACCGTTGGGACAAGTTCCAAGCCAAAGGCTCTATGTGTCCTCTTTCAGAAGCTGATGTTCCGGCTACATGCTTTAACATGCTTTAAACAATTTCAGTGACATATGTCCGATCTTGGATCTTCTTGTGGCTTCAGTTTCAACATGCAATTTCAATGGACACATCCCCATGGAGCAGCACAAGCCTACTGCTTCACTCGTCACAGCGTCATCGGCTTGGCCACCTTCCTCTTCTCCTGCATCCACCGGATACGGATGGAGAGAACATCGGATCGCCCTTGGAGAGAACATGGCTGTCACTGGGGCAACCTCAACTCAGCGGCTCTAGTCGTACCTTTCACCTCACCGCTTCGGTATGACTGGATAGGGTCCACAGGCTTGGCACCCACCCGGGCCCCGGTCGCCTCACCGTCTCACTCACGATACGCGATGACAAGAGGCCCCATGCAGGGACCAACCATGGCGGGACGAATTTTCGGATGGGCGCCCATGTTGACTTCCTTCGACGAAACCGTGCCCGTGCCATGCGCCTCACGGGCCATGGGGTATTGTTATACGTTCAAAGAGCAGTGAACCTTTGATGGGCCGTGCATTTGCAAATCGATGCAACTTTGCCCTGCGAGGATGTCGCATGGCACAAGATCCAGGTGAACGACATAGTCAGTAGGCCATCAATGTCCACATGACGTGGATGTAAAGGTTTGCATTCCCTGCCCCCCCCAAACACTCCATGTATGTCATAATCTAAATCTACATTCACCCCTGAACCACCCACATGTAGCTTTGCATGGGGCCATGCATGCCATCCATGGTCCAGTCTGGGTTTGTGGCAACCAACTGCTATGTCGAACAGCTGACGTTGTTGTCAGAACCTCCGTCCCAGCAAAGCTCGTCCTTTTTGCCCGTGACGGGACACTTCATGAACTGCCTGACGGTGATGACACGTTGAGACACAGCTCACAGTGAATACCCCGGTTACAATGAATCAAGCCATCTACTTGGGCGTTGTTGCTTGAGAGAAAAATGTCATGGCCATTCTGGCATCTCTGTGTCTCACAAGGCTAGATGAAACAAATGTTCAATCGCACCAGCGACTCGGATCCACAAACAATTCCCTTCCAAAACATCCTCCCAGGTGGTTTACACAGGTGGTGTACACGGGTGGTTTTGGTGGTCATGGTGGCCTATATATGGAATGTCTGGCCTCTCATAAGGCCAGAAATATGCGAACCTCTCATACTGTAACTACCTGGTCTTCCTGAAGGCTCACCTTTACAAAGCTTTGAACATCGTACTTTGTACTCAAAAAAATTACCAAATGAGGCGGGGTCGATCGTGCCGCCTCTGCATGAACGCACTCGTGTTGGCCCCGGCTATAGGGAGGAGACTCGAAGAATTCTCTAGAAAGGTATACGTACTTTCCTGGTTGGTGGTTTCAACTGACGAGCCAAGAATGTGGGCAAAAAAAAATATAGGGCTCCAACTAACTCCAGGTGGTTGGGGTGGATTTGGGGGGTCTAATCACCTTCTGAGGATATGGTTGGAGCCCTACAGGGATAAGTCAGTGAGTTCAATCAAACCAAGGTTGCAGGTTGAACATCGGTTTATGAGTGAAAATTAATACAATTCTTTCAGAATCTGGGTTGCCGAAACATAACCCTTGCGGCCACATAGAGAGAGAGAGAGAGAACAATTGCCTTTGAAAACTGAATGACATACTACTGAACTACACCTCCATGTTCAGCGCCTCTCAGTCTCCCACCCCCTCCCCCCCCTCCGGCACCAGCTGATAGGCGCTAAAGGTGCTCCCGCCACAGAGCGCGCGGCAATGACCTGGAGTTCCATGAGTTGCATGCGTCGCGTCTCGGCTGCTGGGGCAGTTGCGAGCTCCATCCGGATGCCAGGCAGCCATGAGTAGCTACGCCAAACACTGCGCCAAATGTTACTAGCTATAGTGGCAATTGGATCCCTTGGAAAAGGGTTATCAACAAAATATATCTGACTTGTGATGCTGCTGTGCTCGGCGGTGTTATCCAACAAAATACATTGGTCAGTGGTCAGATCACCCTACTCTTGAGTTTCTATCTCCTGTTGCGAGCTGGACCAGTTTGGAGATGATCATAAATTTTTGATGCATCAAATGCCATGGGTGGTTGTAAGCAAGCAAACATCAGTAGCTGATTCAGTGACAACAATGCTGGCGGGTGCTGGGGCTGGACAACCTCTAGTTGACCTGACGATAACGGGTCGTTTCAAGCCGTTATGGATCAAACAGCCTGATCTGAGCGACAAACCCCACTGATCTGGCGCCTTGCATATGCATACAGCGAGGATCCGGACCAGGAGGATCCTGCTTTTGATGCACCTTTTGCACATTGCTTGTATTCCATGATCAGTCTGAAAAAATGAAGCATAAGCAAACAGCACAAAATCTGCGCATATCCAGGCAGAACAACACAGCTTGCATTGATGCTGTTAAGACCAGTGATGCGAGGTTTTGGGGTTCGAGGTTTTGGGCGCCCGGGTGAAGAGTTGAGTCAGAGGATGAACAAATTGTCTCCTATTGTGGCAAATGGATGTAAACAAAGTAGTCCCTAAATGGATATAGTAGACAACATTGAGGCGTTGTTTGAAATGATGATTAAATACCAGTTCCAAAGCGCAGTGCGAACGTGTACACACGTGGTTCAAACCGCCGGCCGAATCGACAAGGTGTTGTTCCGAAAATGGCCTCTGTGCAAGGCACGCGTCGCTCGCGTCGCTCCACGTCGGTCGCCGTCCTGCCGCGAAAGAGCGCCCGGACTCCCAAGTTCTCCGCCACGGCCGTCGTCAGCACCTGGGGCGCCGTGGTTTCGCCGTGGTTCACCGGGTCTTGGCAGACCGGAGCCCCGGGTCGTGGCTGACTGATGGGACGGCAGAAGACCTGGAAGAGGTACCAAACGCCGGAGCTTCTGCTTGGTAAGGACCAGAAGAATGTCTGTGAAGCCTTCATTGTGGCCTGAAACTCGAGATGAACACATGTATGGCACGGGCTCTTGAGTTGGATGACATGACCCAAACACTCTATGTATGGTTTGTCTACCTACATTGGGGTTGTTTCAGGGGTCAATGTATATATATGTATATAAATATTCTATACATGATTATACATGGAGTGTCTGGGTTACAGTTGTGGCCTTGGATGGCCTTGGATTGTCAAAGATTTTGGGGCTGGTTTTGAATGACAAATTCCAAAAAACTGTAGGAAATCATCAGTGAAACAAGACTTGTGCCAACAGATCTTGGACACCTTTGGACACTTGGAAGCACACTAACTTCCCAAACGAAAAATAAAAATAAAAACAGCACCTTTCGTTTTTGGTACTGTAATCTTATTCCCCACATCTCTGTGTGGGGTTCTAGTTTTTT